CAAGCACCTAACATGGCATAAATATCCACAGTATCTGCCCCATCATCTCATCTTGCACCTGGAGCTCCAGTCACCCTGAACTATTTTCAGTTCCCAGAACGTGCCTTCCCTTCCATACCTCCAAGGCTTTGCGCACACTGTTAGCTCTCCTAGGAAAGGTCTTTCTGCCTCTTGTCTGTGTGGGAAACTGCTGAGTAACCTTTAATATGAAGCTGAAGTCACTGGCCTATCATGGAGTGATCCTGGAGTTTCCCAGGTGTAGGAAGTACTTCTTGTTCAGGGCTCCATGGCATCTTCTATGTATCGTCAGTGTAGCACTGATCACACAGGTCAGAATTAGTCATTTACATGTTGTTCTCTCTTTCTTCTAAGTTTGTTTATTTATTTTGAGATGGTATGTGTAAGCAGGGAAGGGGCAGACAGAGAGAGGGAGAGAGAGAATCCCAAACAGGCTCCATGCTGCCAGTGTCGGGCTAGAACCGTGAACCATGAGCTCATGACCTGAGCCCAAATCAAGAGTTGGACGCTTAACCAACTGAGCCACCCAGGCACCCCTACACGTTTTTCTCTTTTTGTTAAACAGGACGCTCCCAAATTACAGTAAAGACCCTCTGCTCTTTTTTGTTTTTAAATCTCCTGAACACGGCACATTTACTGGTTGGAAAACTTCTTTGTGACTTCAAAACCCCATCTCTGTATTTCTTGACTGTCTGTTATTGACAGATGGCCGATGGCCTTATCAATCCCTAGTATAGGTTCCCTTTGTTGCCAGAATCACCAGCAAATAACTTGGGGAAGAGTTAAAAGTCAGAACTACAGAGAAAATAAATAGAAGAATCATAAAAAGCAACCCTGTCTCTCAACACAAATAAAAAACAAAGTATACATCAACGTGCTACCTAATAGTTTCATGAATGTAGTTATAATTGTTGTTATAATGATCAAATATTTGCTGAACTCCAAAGCGGGGCAATCCCACATTTTATTTTTAATTAGAATTTGGAAGAATAATTCTTTGCAGTCTGGCTTTTTTTTTTTTTTTTCAAATCAGTTGATCTTGAGGCATCATCAATTTGTAAAAGAGATCTTTGGCTTGCTTCCTTTCCTTCCTTTTCTCCCTCCTCTTGAGCACATTCTGTTGGTTTGGCCAGTGAGCAGACTGAAAAGTCTAAAGAGAAGAGGCCTGGAAATCAGAGAGATGATTTCAGCCAAAGCACTGAACAAAAAGGGTTAGATATGGCCTCTCTTGTCACTGGAGCAAACAAGGAAAAGTAAGCAAGAAGGAGGCACTTGCCAATATGATCATCTCTGATTGGAAACCTCAGACGTGACATCAGGTCTCTGGTGTGCAATGGACCCAGAGAGGCCCACCATGTGGAACATGTTAATGACGTGAGGTTACCTAAGACTGCCTTCTTTTTTTTTTTTAAATCTGTTAGGCAATGAATTCACTTTTAAGAACCTTAAGATAAAATTTTACAAACCCAGCGTTCAGTGGTGATGAATAAGTAAACAATGTGCTGCTCACGATAAACTTTGAATAGATGTCCAAGTGGCTGAAGATGTTAATGGGTAGTTGGCAAAGACTCTTGTAAGAGAAGATGAGGGTAGAAATGACGGGCCTCTGATAGGGGACTCAGACTTGCAGGTCAGAAATTCTGTGACTGGAACAGAAGAAACCAAAGGAAAAGTGAAACTCCTCTGAGACCTGAGTCAAGAAAGGCACAAACAGCTATGGAAACAAGTCCCACTTCTCCAATACCAAAGGAATCCTTTTGTCTTCAGAGTCCTGATTTTCCATCAAGTTGTTTTTTTAAGTTTTACGCTGGCTACAGTTCATGAAACAATGGCTCAGTAATAAAACACAGGGTGAAAATTTACTCCTTTTTAATGAATTAAGTGCACGTAAATTGAGTCTTACCAGGCAATAGGCATCACCTTAAGCACTGGGACACAGAGAAACATGGGATCCAAAGCAGACATGCTAGTGATGGAGAGGGAATTTATTACCTGGATTACCTGGAACTTATCTTGCCGTGGCCCATCACCCGAGCCTGATACATAGAACTAGTACTTTCTAACAATTAGATCTATCCAGTGAAGCTTAATGGAGTTTGAGGACAAATAAGATGTGGCATATAGTAAACAAATAGGATTAATTTTTCTAAAAAGAGACATGCTTTGCATATATAAATAGATTCAGGGAGTATCCAGGATAATTCTATGAAGGATGGAGCCACGGCCAAGCGTGGTGAGGAATGTGTGGTCTTAGTCATTATTTTTTGGTAGTCATGACCCCTCCCCCACCACCCCACCACCAACATCAATCTTGTGACCGACCCCTGGACTGGATAGACCATGGCTGTGTCCATATGTGGAATCTCGTGCATTACATTAACAGCTAAGGAAAGTCTTCCTGAAGGGGATGTGGAAACCGTCTGGCACTGTCACCATTTACTCATTGGTAAAGGAACCAGAGGGTAAAAGTTACATCAGAGATTTCAGCCCAAGGTCAGAAAGAACTTTCTAACGTCTGTTAGAAAACTGAGTATTTTCCTTGGGAAATACTCCAACAAAGGCTGAATAACCATCCAAGCTGGCATCACAGGAAGTAGAAGTAGGTGATACCCAGGAATTTCCCTTTTGTTTTTTTTATTAAAAAAAATTTTTTTTAATGTTTATTTATTTCTGAGAGAGAAAGAGAGACAGAGCACGAGCAGGGAAGGGGCAGAGAGAGAGTGAGACGTAGAATCCAAAGAAGGCTCCAGGCTCTGAGCTGTCAGCACAGAGCCCAACGTGGGGCTCGAAGTCACAAACTGCGAGATCATGAGCTGAGCTGAAGTCAGATGCTTAACCGACTGAGTCACCCAGGCACCCCAACTTTCCCAATTTTTAAACCTATTGATTCCACGACTCAGTCTTTCAGTTGGATTTTAGACTTGGACAGATGGGCAAATGGCCACTATCCTATAGAGAGTTGACTGCTTAAATAAAATCATGAATACCTTTGCCACAATCTTTTTGCCTGTTGTGAAAATGAAATCAAAGCTTTTTATATTTCTCTAATAAATACAATATTGGCAAGTATAACAGTATATTATTGTTACTTCAGTCTTCTGTCACTTTATTAGGAAATGAGAAGGGACTGTTCTTTGTCCTTGAGCTAATATTTTGCCCCTCGTTAGTACATGTTCCTGGGAAGAATGGAATCGGAGGTGGAGCAACAAAGGCCTTGCCATTTGCAGGGAGCCTGCCGTGCCATTAAAGGGAATCCTAAGATGTTCTGGTGGGTGGCCAGCATTCCAGAGCAAGGCAGTGAGATCTAGGCCCGGCCTATCTCTTTCTTACAATTATCAAAGCTCGGCATGCCTTTATCTGCCTATCCCCTTATTATTGTGAACTCCCTAATTGCCTGGACTCTTTCTCTCCACAAATAGTTTCATGTACTGTATTCAGCATTGATGTAGGTGAGTATGTGGACACGTCTTCTATTCCTACTTTTAACAGATTAACAGCTAATAAACACCATGCAACACCCTCTCTTCTCAACCTCTTCTAAAAATACAGAGTTCGATTTGCCAACATTGGTGTATTTAAAGCCTCCAAGATTCCAGGGAAGACTTTAGAAAGTTAACTGTGCAAGTAAGGGCTGTTCAGAGAGGAGATTTTCCAACATAAAGAGCCAATCAGTGTATCAGCAGCTCATCTGAGAAGAACCTCAGGGGATCTTATAGTCATTTATAAGGAAAGGATATTTGTTCTCACTTAAAATAAAACTTTTCACTTTGTTCTTGGTCTGCAGGACTGAAGACAACTCTGGAAATGTATTGCCTAGGGAGCAGGACAGGCAGCGTGTTTTCATCTCAGGAGGGAAAGCTTGTCTTTTCTGGGAAGGGACGCCATGTTACCTTCCAGTAACTTTGCAATGAAAGGACTATGTCACCTCGTTTTCTCTACCCTCCTTGTCCTGCCTTCCCCGTAGTCCCTGAACTTCCCTTCCCTCCACTTAGATAGAAGCGAAGCAGTTAATTTTAAAGAAAAGTCAATAATCAGAAGCTATGTTCAAAGCTTTAAACGAAGCCCCAGCCAGGACTCTGTTCCGAGGACTTGGAATATCAGCAAGAATATGTCTGAGATAACTTGGACAGTTATGTTGAAATTGTGCCCATCAGCACCTCATATATATGACAGAGAGATAATTTATTGACGGGTAAAGTAGGCACTGTGTGCATATTTCAATTAATGGAACCTCCAGTATCAATGAAACAGAGAAGCCTTAATGTATTCATAAAATCCTGGATGTTTCCTGTGGTCTGACTGTCTCAAGTAAGTGACCCTCAACGACCAGCTTGATTATTAGATGATAAAATACAGGTAGATATTTACAGAAAGGTCTTGGCCTTTTTGCTTGAGGTACAGTTTCTGGGACCAGACCCTTTCTTTGCCTTCAGGTGGGTGTTTTTTAAGGCAACGGAAACTCAAGTGTATCTGCCCTGCTTGCCTCTGTTGATTTAAGAAGCCTGTAAAGCCACAGCGATTTGACAATTTCATTGACTCCACATATTCACTGATAGAGCTGGGGCAGTCTGTGTCTGTGTCACTGTGGTAATGATGACGACATCGTCCTGTGCTAGAGAAACCGGCAGCGCTACTCTCTGTTCAACTCCATTCGTGATATTAGTGACCTTGACCTTTAACAATTAAGGTGGGTTTTTTTTTTTCCATGCAGACCAGACATCCTTTGAAGAAAGCTCAGAGGAAAAGTCCATCATAGTTACGACTTACTCGCAAATAATCTGAATTGGGCTAATTTCTTCTTCCTTTTGCATTTCAGTGTCATCTATACCTTGCGCTCTTCCAGACGAATTGCCCCCGGTGGTGATATCTCTCAGTGCCTATGTCTATACCACTTCTCAGACAAATCACCACAGATCTTTAAAAAGTCAGTGCATTTCTTGGCGTTATTTACAACTCCCTTTGCTGACTTTTCTCCTTGGCAGGACCGGACTGGAAGCCATCATGGAGACTTACGCGTTCTGGAGACCCCCTGTGCGCACACTCACCTTTGAGGATTTCACCACCATGCAAAAGCAGCAAGGTAAAGTCGTGGGGCACGGCCTCTGCCTGGTGATAGTGCCGAGGAGAGTGGGAGCAGAACTGAATATAGCACATCTGGCCCCAAGCCAAGCCATGAGTTACACCCGTTCTTCTAGAACGAAGAGTACTTGGTAGCGCCCTAAATAACCAAAGCATAACCACTTGCGCAAACAAGCCAGTTCCAGAGGCAGCACACTTTCACTCTTCCTAAAAGCAGGGTTAGGTTCACGATTATGATGGTGGTGAAATTATTACTTCTACCCCTGAACGTTCACATAGCCCTTGGTACTCGAAGAGATCTTCATAATAACATCATTTATTCCTCATGGCAGCCTTATCAGTTTTCTTAATCTAGTTTTGTAGATGAGAACAAACTCGGCCCGCACAACGGCAGTGAATTGCTCAGGTCTGACAGCGAGCGGGGGGCTGCCACAAGCCCGTCGGAGTCTCGCGACTTGTGTTCCCTCCTGTTCTTGTTTACGTGGAACAACACCTGCCTCAGGTTGATGGGCTGGGTGGACTTTTTCCTTACACTGATTTGTCCTTTCTTCCAGTATCTGCCCTCTCTGGCAGCTCAGGTCGGGAAGCCTGTGGCCTGCGCACAGGTGACTCGTGGGCTGACCTCGACTCCTTTCTTCAGTCCCATTGGTGGCTCTTCCCAGCACAGCCCCCGTTCACCTGGGGAAGCTTCCAGAGTGTCAGATGCTTTATAGGCCTCCCTCTCCAACTTCCTCCCATCCCAGAGTGGCACGGGCCAAAATTACAGACAAAGCTTATTCTGTTCTGTCAAATGGCTGCCGTTAATAGAGCCCCGAGTTTTGAAATTGTGGCTCTGCCATATAGGAGAGCCTTCTAGGACTTGATGATACATTATATTACATTCCCCTCCCAGGGGAGCTTCTGGTGGTTTGCACGCTAAATTAGGTTTTGTAACCTAAATTATTGCGCTCTCTCAGATTGTAAGATAAAGCGATTGAAAACATAGGGTCTGGAGTCAGACCGCTTGGGTTAGGCTCTTCCTAGCTTTGGGACCTTGACCAAGTCCCTAATCCTTTCCGATACTTAGTTTTCTCATGTGCAAAATGGAGAATTTTTGTGAGGATTAAATGAGACAATGGAAACAGGGGAAGCGCTCACGACATGCTAGCTCTCGTGGTGGTGGTGGCGGTGGTCGTCATCGCCACCATCTCTGTCCCTCTCTGTCCCTGTACATGGATACCTGAGAGGCAGATGCATCAGGGACAAGAGATACTGCCTTTCTGATGATTAGTTATTTAAAACATGATTAGACCATTCACCTTCACAGGGATCTGGTGAGGCAAGTGATCCATAATTTCTCTCTCTTTTTTTTTTTAATAAATGGAGGAGAAATGGAAGCCCTCTGCATGAAGCAGCCTTCTCCTCATAATCCTGTGAGAAAAGAAGGGTCAATGCATCTTCAGGGTGTTGCTATTGCTTCTAGGCTCTCGTGGCCCTTAGGAGGCAGAGGTATTCTGACAGTTGGGAAATCTGGGTCTCCATCTTGGATGGCCACTACCTCTCTATAACCTTGGGCAAGGTATACTTCTAGTGAATCTGTTTTCCTCACCCACCAAAGAGGGGTAATTTTTTTACAAGATCATTTATGTAAACACGCTTCATAAAGGAACATGTGTCATTCTCATGCAAAGATACTTACTTGATCCTGTTTATTTGTGAGGTGGCTCCTTGCTTCTTTGCCCTTGCTTTATGTCGATTTTGCAAGCTCTAGCTAAGCAAGAGTTTGTATCATGGAGGCTGGTGTGAGAATGTTGGCAGGGGTATTGCCAGTTATTGAGAAGCAGGCATGGGTGGGGACATTGTGTTCACTGCTGTGTTCTCAAGAACTGTCACAGGGCCTGGCACCCCGGAAGTACCTAATGAACAATGCCAAGTGAAGTCACTTGGTGGCACTGTGGCTCAGGTAGGCAGGGTCACTGTCTGATACATGTGCTTGGAGCACAACTACCTAGTATGTGTGTAGATGTGGATGTGGAGTGATCACTGGGGTTGGCAACCTGTATTTCAGCAGCACGTGGGGCCGTTAGGCAGGCACAGGCAGAGGGAACTGGCGTGAGTTGCTTAGGTGTGTAACATGGCCGGTTTCACGGTGTTTCTATAAAAAATTTATCCATATGATAAATTTATTGTTGACACTTGGGAAACAATGGTTTAAGAGAAATGGACTTTTGAAGCAAAATGTCACACTTAATTAGGGAGTCCATTTTTTATTGGTGGGGGATGAACTTGGAATTACTAGATACATATGGTAGTGGGATGGGGCTGGAGGGAGAGCCAAAATTCTATTCAGTTGTTTAATTGGAATCCATTTTTGAACTATACATTGAACTTGATCCAGATTCTCATTATTAAAAAATATGTGGCTTGGTTTCTTCACATTAACAAAGGACGTAAAAGAAACAACATTCACTCCCTCCTCCCTTAAGAACTAAGAATTCCGGTAGCTCTGGACTGTATCACGCATGAAATGAAGAAAAGAGACATAGCCACCTGTGTTGAACTGTCTCGTGTCTTAGAAGGAGTAGAAAGTGATGACCTTCTAGAGGGAACTTCGGTGGCAGACTGATCTTGTAGTAATTCCCTTTTGGTGAAGAGAGTATTGGCAGTGTTGACACGAAACCTAAGCTCCACATAATGACTGACTTACCCAGTGTCCATATAACCTCACTGCTTCAGACACATGAATGTCTGGCATGTCAAATACATGGCCCTAAGACTGTTTTCTACTGCTGCTTCTGCTGCTGTTGCTGGAAGCTAGGCTCTTCTGTCTGAATGAGGTTACAGATGCTTTTTTCATCCCGTCCTTGCTGTCATTTTTATTTCTCTTTCATGAAGACCCATTTGTTGATAACATTGCAAGGAAAGCCCTTAGTTGAATTAGCCACAGTTTTGCAAAAACCCAAATCCTTCTGTTTAAAAAAATATATTGAATGGGTATTCTATATAGTTGTTTTCTCCTATGGAGAAGCATGCATGGGATTCATTATCCTCTGCCTTTTACACAAAGAGAAACCGAGGCACAGAGCAAAGTCTGCTCACATATCTGCAGGTAAATGGTGGAAGAAGTGAGCTGAGGATTCCAAAGTGCGTCTCCATCTTGACAGGGCAGTTCCCTTTCCATTAGACCACATTTGATTTCTTCATTCTTACTAGAGCTTTGATTGTCCACAACGTTGTTTTTTAGTTTACACTTCCAATTGATGTTTCCTTGCCAACACCTTGAGCATTAATTCTAAATAGGTCGATATTCTATTTTTATGAAGTCAAGTGTATGGTCTTACCTTCAGATGTCTTCATTTAGAATCAGCAAGGGAGTTCACTTGTTTGGAGAGTGTGGAGATAGGATTCTATTTCAGGAGGGGCTTCTGCCTGAACACTGCTAGTGGCAGGGACAAAATGAACTAACCAAGTAGGTGATGCTTGGGGACGTTGACTGAGGCAACACAGGTAGAGAAGAAAAAAGAAGAGCCCAGGTCAGTTATGGCCAAGTGCAGTCCTGTTGTTCTGATGATATATACAGTGGAGCTGTTTGTATGGCCCAAACTGAAAGAGCTTGTGTGAGCACCATCCGTGTCCAAGGGGCTGACAACTCTTGTACCAGGAAGGAACCATCTTGGACCAGTGACACCAGAGCTGGCAGTCCATCTCCATCTGTGGAAATAAGGAGACCTGCCATTTATGGAACACTCCCTCTTCCTCAAATGGTAGCAGACATCACCAGAAAAGACCTCAACACCATTGGGTCTTTTAATGTTTGTCAGGCAGTTAAAAGGATATGAGCATCTCTGTTGGTGCTGGGATTTTCATCAGCTAGATTTATAAGAATTAGAAGTTGGTCCTGGAAAGGGATCAGAAACTGAGAAATTCAAACCAGTAAAACACAGGGAAAGGGGACAGTTCAAGGGACAGCTTGTCTTTGAATTACTGTGGATTACTCTGTAATGATTCTGAGACAGCTACTTATGCAGATCTCATGTATCACTGAGGTGAGGAAGGATGGCTGTGAGGAGCTCGTGACAGGGATTGACAGGGTGTCTGAACTCAGTCCACTAAAACAGTGGCAACATACATTTTGTTTTGTCCCAAAGTCCCTGATGCTCAATGTGTCCAGAAATCTAGCACACGATTTACCTTACAGACTTGGCGCCCTCTCCTGGGGGAAGAACACCACTATATATATGCATCATCCTGGGTGTTTCCCTGCCTCCTTCCCCACGGTAGGTAGCCCCCATCTCCAAGTTCTGGAATCCGTCCACACCTCTAATCTCCCTTGCCACCACCTGCTCCAGGCTCCCACCTGACTTCATCCTCAGACCCCCATGGTGGTAACATAGCTGTGAGCAGCAGTAGACCTACATCTTAAGTCTCAATTTGAGGGAAAGGGTCATGTGCCCCTCTTAAGGTTTCTAGCAAAATCTCTGAGTCTCATTGACTCAAATTGCATCACCCCTGAACCAATTACTGTGGTCAGGGGTGGGGAATATGATGTGTGGACCATCCAGCTCTTAGTCACATACCTTCCCTGGAGGTAGGGGTGGAGAGCTGAGAGTGGGAGACGGGGGTTTTCTCAATGGGAAGCTGGGTACTGGGGCCAGGAGACAGGCAGATCAGCCCTCAATGGCAATAACAATTGGTGTGTACATGGCCGCAGGGAAGGCAGTAAAACAAGGAGCAGAGAAAACAGACCAGTTCATGGAATGTGAAAAAACAGGGCCAGCCCAGCTAGGCAAGGTGGTAGGTGTGAAACAGGGCCATTCAGGAAACAGAGAGACTCAGAACCCAAAAGACCAATGTGAAAAATGAGAATTGGGTGAATATATTACAAGCTAGATTAGGGGCACCAGGTAAGCATCTGACTTTGGCTCAGGTCATGATCAGCTCGTAAGAGCCTTTGCTAGTTTCCCTTCTTGCTGTCAGCTGCTATATCTCTGCCTCTGGATCCTCTGCCTTCCTCTCTCTCTC